GATCCATCCCAAGAGACGCTGTACCAAGCAGCCCGCTCAACTTTAACTTACGATACAACCTGCCTGCGCATTGACTATATCTCCAAAACGCCACAGAGATAACGGCATGTCACAGGTGATGTTGAATTGCTCTACCACTATGTGTGGGATAGATCGGCCCAGTGTTTTCTTTTGACGGGTCACACTAAGCCAAGCGGTGACTTTGGCTATTTTTGTCAACAGCCTGCGAGTCTTTCATCTTTTACCCCTTCCAATCTTAACACCTAGCGTCACTGAAAGGACATACTCTCACGTAGCCACAACTTTTGCCAATGTGCCGGTGTTTAGCAACACAACCGGAGCCTTCTTCCTATCAGGCAGCTTTATCAACATACATGGTCCCATCCAGCCAACGTGGGGGATATTCGACAATCAAGACTTGTTCCTGGGTTAATTTGACCGACTGGCGGGGCACCGGGAATCGCGCTGGCCGCAAGGATAGTGCTGCAGCCTAACACAGAGTGCGCCGCCCCAGGAGCGACATGTTCAAGCTCTACCGCAGCTAAACCATCATCTCCCCGCTGATAACCATCCCAAGACCTGTGATCACAGGCGTTTCCAAACTGCACTAGAATTCCCTATCTTGTAGCCAGACTCGCCATAGCAAAATGCCATATCAATCACAATCGAGAAAGTAACGAATGAAAATCAGCAGCTACAGTATCGGGCAGTGACACCGCTCTTTGGAGACTCTAGTTCATGAGAACATGAACCGGATTATTGGAGCCGTTTACGGCTATATTTCGTACGGACCATGGCACCCAACATTACAACACGCCATCCAGGGCCAGTATGTCCGATATGATGGCTCACATCCCCCCCTATCACAACCACGGGAGTCTCAAGTTAGCAGAATCGGATGGCCGATTCGGATGCCACTCTCTGTAGGGACTGTCCACTGCCATATCACCATCCCAACATGTCATAAAAAAGGGTCAAGAGCAGGAAGTAAATAGCCGTCATACCAAGCTGACATCTGGACTGACCGGGTTTACGGCTAATCTCGAGGCTCAGAAGTAGAAACTGACAGGACAGTTACGGATTAATCTCTCCTTAGGGGATTTGGTCTCTGCCACATTGTTTGAGTTTAGTACGTCATTTGTGACGTCAGTTTAACAAGACATCCGTAACAAACAGTTGGCTTTTGTCCTAGACACACCGGTTCATGCAACAGAAGGGAAGGTAGATGTATGTTTGTCGTGACCCCCCGATAGTACGCAGCCATCCTGATCGGCTTATTATGGCCCACAGCAGGCTCTCAACCTGTACAAAGTCAATTCGACATATTTCACAATATAGATAACATCCGGGGAGTCTGCAAAAAAACGGTACGAGATGCAGCTGCAAGTGTCTTTTTCTGGCTTCTCCTTGCAGGCTGAGTCTCATCAGGACGGTTGCATTTGACGAGTCTAGAACACTCGGCGGGTGAGCAGGACCAGACAACGGCCCAAGTCCCAGTGAGCCTTCCAAGAAAGCTGTCAACAAATACTATGATTTTGCCGCGCTTCTGTCGCGGCTGTCATATCTGAACTAGCCGCAATTCTTGGAAATTAAGGCTCAATCCGAACATCTGTGACATCCATCTGCTTATTGCTTCTCACTTGCCCCTGAATAATGTGGCAAACCCAGACAACTGACAAGACGTTCTTGCCACTCTGTTATCTCGTCACAACCCCGCTGCCGCGGCCTTTTTTTTCTGCGTCTCTGTCGGCATCGACCAGGAAGAAGAGCGGAAAGAGAACAAAAGCCAGAGATGGTTCTGTTACAGAGCGGCTTTTTGGTGTCTTGTGTGTTCTGAGACTTCAATCTTCCAAGTCAGGCATCCATCAAGACCCGCTAGGCATGCAGTTTACGGTCTTCGGTACCGGGTCTATCGCTCGGTGTCTTTCGCTCAAACGGCTTGTCTCCGTCATGTCTCCATACAATACTGCAGCAATATATCCAATTGCATATGCGAGCCGCGGCTTGCGTGCCTTTTCTGACGAGGTGCATACACCGAATGGGTCGCGGTCAGCGGCTCTTGTGGCCGGTGTTTACCGAACTTGCCTAACTTACTGCAAAGGATAGCTCAAAGAGCGAAAAGGTTTGAGACAAACTAGCCATCTGATCAATTATTCCAAGACTTTGTGTTACCTACCGTTTGCGAGCGGCTGGTATATGTCTGTCACCGACTCGGTTTCTTCCCCTTGTTGCTCGGCTACCTTAGTCGCTCCTGTCCTGCCAGAGCCGTTGGGAATCAGGACAATGAGGTGCGGAATTAATCGACTTGATACATAAGTGAGTAACCGAGCCACTTTGCTGCGAGACAGTTGACTCAGGCGGTCAGGAACGCGAACGCTCGTGCGTGGAATTTCGGTCCGGGCAGAAGGCGCTTCTTCGGCCGGAGACGGGACAGCTTGAGACTCGTGAAGTGCAGTTGAGCCGAGTAGGACCGTAGGCCCGCTTGTGATGCTGATGCTGCGTATCTCCTGCCTTTGATGATGATGGGTTGTTTGTTTGTAAGCTTGCCAATCGGCCGGCTTGCCTACCGCCTCTCCCGGCCATGATGCGGTCGCCGGAGGGAGACCGTCTGTGTTGGCAGGAGGGAATCTGGGCAGTTGTTGACTATCAGATTGTCTTCAGCTCCCCACTGCGTTTTGTTTTGACATCGGGAGCTTGTCATCCGTCTGTTCTCTCCACACTTGCCGCGCGGGGAGTCCTCCCGTCTAACTCGTGCTCTTGCGCTAAGCTTATCGCCGCATGAGCAGTTTTCGCAATTTCACATGCCTGGCTTTGTAAGAACATCTGTGTGCCTTCTGGAGCTGTTCTGGAAGACTGAGTAGTACGGGACCGGGAAGGTAGGATGGTGTGAGTTGTACAGAGCTAGTCTCGGACGGTCAGGTTAGGCGAGGCCTCGTCGGAGCTGAGTCTTGACGGGTTGGGTTTGATCCCGGACGGCGGGTGGGGAGGAGGTCCACCTCCAGTGAGCGCCATCGGCGCCGGGATTAGGGAGTTGGGGATTGGGCTTGGTGCGACTTGTCCGGAGGAGATCCGTATCGTCCGTTTGAGAGCCGTGAACGGGATTGGATCTACTCCGGACCACTCATAAGCTGGGAGCGGGAGACAGCATGTGAACAGGCTAGCCGGGCGGCTACGCTAGCTGTGTTTGCTGATAAGATTCAATGTGCCATACAAAAGGAAATTTACTGGAGTGCACCAGTACGTACGACCATACCCAGTGGAAAGCACGGCATCCCGTCCGCTCTGCCCTAGTTAAGCCACTGAGGGCCCGGTTAGTAGTTGGGTCGGTGACGACCAGCGAATCCCGGGTGTTGTACGTTGTTTTTTCTTTTTTTTAAGGAGATCTCCTTTCCAAGGAGGATTTGTTAAGGAACATTTCCCAGTTGCCTCTACCTACCTTCATCTCTTGATATGGACTATCCTAGGTCTTGCTCCTTGATTTTCAACCCACTCCCGGTAGTGTTGCAAGTTCCCCTGCCAAGGCGCGGACAAGAGCCAACTTTGAAGCAGAGCTCGGTCGCCGTCATTGGCCTTGTGAACTTACCGATGGACTGCTTGGCAGCGTGTGCTTCCGAAAATCCGTGTACGGTAGGATGGTTGAACGTCGGCTAGAGGTTGGAAGGGGGGACTTGGAGGGTTCTTGCGGGGTTAAGGGGCTGTCGGAGAGGTGAGATGATTAGGGTGAGTGGGAGGCGAGGAAACATGTTCGATAGAAAACCGAGTGAGAAGCTCAGTTAGAGAAAGTAAAGGGTAAAGATCTTAACATGTTCAGTGTTTATGCCATTTTGTTCCGAGTTTAAGTCGACGCAACACAGGACCACACCGCACTAAAGCTCTAGATCGAACGTCTACTGTCCTCCCTGTTACCTTTCTTCCATCTTCTCTTCAAGGCCGGTTCGGTCACTTTCGATGTCGATCGATGAACCACGATCGCTAGATATCTGGATAGTAGATGCCCATTATCAAGAGACCATCCCGTTCCTGTTGTATCACCACACCATTTGTATCTCAGCGTAACTTCGCTGGGTTGTTCTGCATATTTATCACATCGGACGGAAGGGGAGACGGAAGGAGAAAACTCGTCATTCTGTGATATTGTCCAACGTACTTTTGCATACTAGGCCTTGCGAAACATCAGAGTGCGGTGCGGGGCTGCTAGGACGCTTCGGTGATAAGTGTCTGAAGCCTCGAGGGTCAGATCAGGGACTCGAAGAGAAAGAATTTCGTCTCTTTGGTAAAGAAAGGAAGCTGAATCTGACGCGGAGAGTCATTTCTGTCTTGAATTGTTGGAGGGAACACTCTGGGTACAAGAAGGATACCTATTCTCCACTGCTTATGGAGCGTCAGAGCAAAAGCTGGATTGAAGTTCCTATTGAGGTGTTTCTATGCATCAAAGACAAAGAAGTATCTCAGTGGATGAAGCAGTTGTAATTCTTTACAAGTTCTACAGAAGTATATACCATCAATGGCTTGTGCGTCAGTCGGCAACCATCAGATCAGATATCAGTAATCCAAAGAGAAGGATGAGCATGTGTATCCGGTCGAAGCAACCGTCATCAATAGCTAGTTTGAAGTCTCCTTCGAAAGAAGACTTCTGTTTTCTTCAGAATCGGATTTTTGATCTCTAGCTCATTGGAGTCGCTGCATGCTGCAGGGTAGATAAAAAAAATTAACCACTTGGTTCTGTTAGCTTATGAGCAAGAACACAGTCCTTACAAGACACTCAAATCCACGAGGTCGAAGTGACCGTTTCGTATTCCTTGCATTACCGATACTTCAGTGAAAATGAAGGAAGAAACTACCTAGTTACTCCAATCCGTAATAGTCCCAAGACACTCAGAAACCTCCTAAACAATGAAGAGACCCCGAGTATCCCAGGCCTAAACCTAACCATTCCTGTACGCTCCGACCTGGAGGAACCAAGATGTCCAATCCTCCCGTAAAACCATCAACCCGAATCATCATGATTCGACATTTCGCTTTTTAGAAGACTTGGCAAACATCGACATCTTCGCCTGCACCTTGAGCTTCGCAGTATGGCGGAGATACATGAGCATTTCAAAAAGCGCCTTGGTGATTTCCCAGCCATGCTGCTTCCAGATATCCGGCCACACGTTGCCCCACTGCGCCATCTGGTTATTGGCGACGGTCACAACGAAGCGGATGCAGTGGTCCTCCTGGGTCCAGTCGTCTTTGCAAGGCTTATAGATGAGGTATTTGCCCTTGCCGAAGCGGATGACGCGCTCGGCAGTCTCCACGACGTCGCGCTTGTCGGGCTCCTCGGCGAAGATGTTGTACTCGAAGTAGTCGGCCACGAATTCCTCCCACTGGGGTTGGACGATTGGGCTGTGGATCCAGCTGGAGAGGAAGTAAGTGACCGACTTTGACTCAAAGGATTGTTGAGGAGGACGAGGATTGAGACTTACTCGTAGAACTCCGCAATATTTTGAACAGGTAGTTGCTCAAGGAGAATGCGCCCAAGCTGACGAGTCAGGCGGAGGTCCTCCTCCTCAAAAGTTACAGGCACAGAGAGCTCAAAAGGCTTAGCCGGGGTTGTGGAAGTTGCCTTAGTTGTCTTTTTGGGAGTCGTGGGCGCCTTCTGGGAATTCGTCGTACCAAGATCCGTGGTATGCTCCTTGAAAATCTCATCAAAGGGCTGCTTGAAAGGTTCCGTGGGCACTACCTCCCTAGTGGCTTTTGAAGCTACCGTGAGAGCATCATTCGGGGTGGCCGCAGCGGTCTTGACCCCGGGTTTGCGACCTCTCTTGGAAGTTCCTTTTTCAATCACATTTGATGGTGTAATCGCCTTCTCCATAGCGGAAATCTTGCCCTGAGACATCGAGATAAGTAGTTAGTTATTTTCTTTAAGCTAAAGCATAGAAACGGATCGCGACACCTTAGCTGTATCGGACATGATGTACTGTTGGTGTTGTGTAGTAACGAAATAAAATCGGTTCTGACGTGGAAGACGACTTGTTGTGTTTGGTAGCGAAGTTGATGACGGAAGGAGGGAGGATTAAGTGTCGAAAAGTAGAGCGTGTCAAGTGCCTCAGGCCTCCTTGTTGAGGTGAAAGGGGGCTTCCGACAGGATCAACGCAAAGTAAACAGACCAAGCTCTTTCACTCTGTGGAGCAATTGAGATTCAACTCGCAATCGTTCCATCTTTGAGGAAAGCTTTATCTGTACAAATCAAGGACTGACTTCGGTCGGATATCTTCAGTTAGATGTTTCGAGTCGAAGAGTCAATCTAAAAATTGCAGTCATGAGGGTTGATACAGTGCTGGTGTTGTTGGTGTTGACTGGACGACAGCTTCGCAGTGGCCCACTCCTCTGTCGCACTGTGCCACGATAAGATAACTTGAGCTCAACACAGTGTCGGCTCCAAACAAAACGAAACGAAATTCAAACCGTGTGGGGCCACCAAGAAGCGAGCGGATCAACGCCCAGACGCGAAACTCATGCCAGGTTCTCAAAAACGACACACACTCATCACCTCATCACCTGTTTGATGACCACACGCGTTTTCTTCCACCTCAGCCCGCCAGGCGTTTGTTTTTCACTGTAACTCCTGTCGTGCCCTCACCAATCTGTCTTCAATCACTAGAAAAGCCTTCACTTCGGCTGAGCCTGGCGTGGGCAATCGCAGGTTTTGCTCATATTTTTTTTTTTTTTCGTGAGCGATCGATACGCTTCTCGTTCGTGAGTTCGTTTTGGTTTCAAAAAGTGATGAGCGGCTGTTGAGCCTGGCATCATCAACGTATATCCAACCAGAATTGACATTCTATCCAGACAATTCTTTCTCTTAATATCAGGTGGGCTCTCCTTCTATTTCATGTATATTTTAATTGCGTTGGGAATGGACATGAGTGGTTTGGATGAGAGTCTTCATAGGCTGCTCACCATCCAAAGTTATCATCATCACGAAGGCCAAAAAAGGACCCGCAACCCCTGACTGACGGGCTTGACTAGACACCATGTCCAATGAATCTGCGTCCAACACCAACGGCCCAGCCGAAACAAATGAGGCCGGCAACACCACCAACACCAACGATGCGGTGGCCGAGACGACTGCCGCTGAGCCGCGGCCTTTCACCTGGCTGTAGGTCCCATTCAATGACCCCAACTGCCTTTACAATTGAGAAATTCTCACTTACACAATCTTAGCGAACCCCACCCCATCTTTGTTATAGCCCTCGTTGGCCCAGAAGAAACCCCGTTCGGCATCCAGAAGGACTTCCTCTGCTCCAAGTCCTCCTTCTACCGCAAGTACTTCGCCGAGAACCCAAACGAAGGCCTGGAAAACCTCGTCCGCCTGCCCGATACCCCTGTCGAGGTCTTCGCCTACGCCCAAAACTACATGTACACCGGTCAGGTCTTTCCTTCACTCGAAAACCTCCCCAGCTACGAGGTCCTCATCGGCGTGTGGAAGCTAGGACATGACCTGGGGATTGAGGGGCTGTGTGATGCGACGCTGGAGGCCATGGCTGAGTGTAGACGGGTTACCCAGCATATTCCGGCTACGCCGTTGTTGGTGCAGGTGTGGAAGGATACGCCGGAGGGGTCGTCGATCAGGCGGTTGTTGTTGAGTTGGGCTGCGGAGTATATGCGGTCGAGTGAGTCGCGGGCGGAGTTTGCGAGGTCGCTGCCGCAGGAGGTGTTGAGTGAGCTGGTGGTGGCGATGAGCTCGTTGGATAATACGCCACCGGCGGCTGCTGAAGGTTGTGCTGCTGGGTCATCGGCCAGTGCGTCGACTGGAGCATCAACCTCGCAGTGGCGGACGACTGATGCGGATGAGGGAGAGGGTAGGCCGGCAAAGAAGATGCGTGCGTCGTCGGACGGTGGGGGCGTTAATGGCTCCTCGTCGGCAAACGCTGCGGCGGCGGGTCGTGGCAAGGGCGGGCGGGCGTCACTGCCGGCTGGCAAGGCGTCGGCCAGCAAGCCGGGTCCCAAGCGCCGGGCTAGCGGGGCGGCTGTGCCCGCGACGCAGTACTCGTCGAACCAGAGGCTGAATTTCTGTGCGGATCTGCTGTCGAGGATGCTCTCTGGCCCAGGTAAGCCCATAACTCCCCCTGAAACCTACTCTTACATCAGGCTAACAAAGTCCAGGCTTCTGGACCCGCGTTGTCGGCCCCTTCAAAGAACCCGTCGACCCCGAGCGCGACGGGGTGCCTGACTACTTCGACGTGATCAAAAAGCCGATGGACCTGTCGACGATGAAGGCCAAGATGGACAGACACGAGTACGCGGACGAGAACGAGTTCCTGGCGGACATGAACCAGATCTTCACCAACTGCTACACGTACTGGAAGGAGGGCGACCCGATGTGGATTGCGTGTGAGAAGCTGCAAAAGAGCTTCGAGGACAAGTTCAGCCAGATGAACAAGTGGATTGCCAAGATGGAAGGCGATGAGGGGAATTAAGAGGGCTGCTACAGTGTTGCTCTTGTTACTATTATGTCTTGTTTGGAATTTCTTCTGGGCGTAGTTGGTGGCTTCGTTTCTTTTCATTGTTTTTCCTATAACTGATTTGTTGCTTTTGTTTCCTTTGCTTCTTTTGCTCTTCGATTGCTCCTATACTCTTTACTGGGCTTAGACGGTCAGGATACCGCCGCATCCCAACACAGGTATCCGTCAGTCCGGGGCCCGCAGACAGAAGAGTCAAAACAAACTGTACCATGAAGCTGGGACTGTAAAATACACTGGCGGCTGAGCTGACATCCATAATACCCTCTGGAGCAGTAGTAGGACCGGTAGATAATGCCTTAATACAAAACAAAACCCAAGGAGAAGCGCCATTCGTAACCGAAATACCAAGGTTGCTGCTTTTGATCGTTCGATTTGTGAGATAGTAATACACGGGGACTGCGCTGGCTCAGCTCCAGTTGACGCCAAATAGCCTCCACGGCTTGCGCTCGCCGGGCTTGGCGCGCGCGGCGTCGGCGTTCTCGAGCCATATCCTCTGGTGGCCCTTGACGTCGACATAGAAGTACTTGTATTCGTGGTCCACCTGGTCGGTACGCTTGATCAGGTGGACGCTGGCCCGGCCGAAGCCTTTGGGTCCTCGCACCTGGGGTACGTTAGTTGTCTAGTCAAGTGTCGTACGTACCTGCTCCCAATCCCAAAGCAGGGGCTTACATTGAACTGGATCATCATGTGCTCGGTGCCCTGGGCATCGATGGTGACGGTCGAGCTATGTAGTCTCAGTATCTATGCCCTCACATTGCCCAAGATATGCAGGGACCTACGCGATCGGCCTCGCCCGCTGCCACTTATTCCATGTCTCCTCGCCAAACGCCTCAATCTTCTTACCCTCGCCCAGCAGCTCGATCAAACGGGGGTCTGCGCGAATACGGTCGACAGCGCGATTGAAGTGCGCCGTCTTGCTGTCGGGAGAGAACACCTCTGAGTAGAGGAAATAGCCAACACCGCCCTAAGCGCATAGCAGCATTAGAATCTGTCTGTGGGGCTATTCAAGGATGACAAATGCATACCGTCAGCACCAACCCGCCCACAACCAGACCAAAGTTGAAGGTCTGCTGGACAGCGCGAGCCGTCTTCCCGGCGGCCGACAGCTCCGTCCATGGCACGCGACCATCATCATTGAATGGGGTTACCGAACGGCGACGAGAGTCGGGGGAAGTCGCGTAGGGCTGGCGTCCTGGGACGGGGGATTGATCATTTGCTAGTTTCGGATGGCGGGGTGATGCTGCTGCTGCTGCGGGGAGAACGGCAGCCTTGTTGTTGCTGGTCCCAAGAACTGGGGTGGCGGGACGGACCCGAAGCCCGCCCGAGACCGTCGTGCGAAATATCATGGCGGCCTGGTGGTGCCCATCGCGGGGTGGGCATATGTTGCTTAAGCTACAAGAGGTTCAACGACGAAAAGTCCACTCTTAATTTGCAGCCATCACTGACTGTCCTCCAAGCGGAGCTTCCATCTCTCGGCTGCGGTCACTGCTCCTGCCAGGCGCCGGCAAATCTTCGGTTGGCCGTCGATCCTTTTGGTGGTGGGGCTATGCGCTAAGCCAAATCAGGTTTAGTCGGCTCTTTGATGCCACATGGAAGATGTGGTCTGGGCACGAAATTGGGGGCGCTGGTGTCCAGGTCCACGTCTCCTGAAACGGCGCCGCGATCGAGACTGTTGTCGTTCACCACTCCGCAACAGAACCGCCGGTGACACCTCTTCTCTCAGTTTGCAGGCAGATCTATACGGAATAGCAAGAAGAAAATAACCGCGCTAAAATGAGCGGGCTTGCGTCCAAGCAGGAGTCGCTCAAGATCTTCGAGAAGCTCAAGTCGAAGCCAGCCAACAAGGCACGTGTCCTCCTCGCCGCCATTCACCCCTGACTATACCATCTCCGGTCATGATGATGTTCACTACTAACACAGCAGCAGGTCTGCTTCGACTGCGGCCAGAAGAATCCCACATGGACGTCCGTCCCCTTTGGCATCTACCTGTGTCTCGACTGCTCGGCCAACCACCGCAACCTGGGCGTGCACATTTCCTTCGTGCGCTCCACCAACCTCGATCGTACGTTTCTCCTCGGCCTTGCTCTGGCCGCAATTGGCCAGTCTCAAAGTCCCAGACCCGTCTAACTTTTTTTTCGTTTTCCAACAGAATGGCAATGGGACCAGCTCCGCATCATGAAGGTGGGCGGCAACGAGTCGGCCACCAAATTCTTCCAGGCCAACGGCGGGTCCGCCGCCCTCAACAGCAAGGACCCGAAGACAAAATACACTTCCCCCGTCGCCGTCAAGTACAAAGAGGAGCTTAAGAAGCGTGCGGCACGGGACGCCAAGGAGTATGTCTACACCCACACTCTCCCCTTCTCACCAACTTCCTCCTGACTCTTCCGACTACAGGTACCCCAACGAAGTAGTCATCACCGACCACGATGTCGCCGACGGCTCTTCCACGCCCGCCGAAGAAGAAGACGACTTCTTCTCCTCCTGGAGCCGGCCCGCCGTGAAGAAGCCCACACCCCCCGTCTCGCGCACCGCCACACCCCCCGTTGTCGGGCGCACGCCCTCCCCATTCCTGTCGGCCCAGAACGGCAAGGACCGCGCTCCGTCGCCCCTGGCTAAGTCCGCGTCCAGCGAAGCTGGTGAGGGAAGCATGCCTGCGGCCAAACCAGCCGCTCGTGTGACATCTACATCGACTCTGCGCTCGTCGGCCACCGGCCCCCGTAAGACGAATATCCTGGGAGCGAAGAAGGCTACCTCGCATAAGCTTGGCGCGAAGAAGCTTGGTGCCGGGGATGCGGTGATTGATTTTGAGGAGGCAGAGAAGAAGGCTAAGGAGGAGGCTGAGCGTAAAGAGAAGCTGGGTTATGATCCTGATGCGGAGGAGGAGGAGGTTGTGACCAAGACGGGCGCCAAGGCTGAGGGCAGCGGGGCAATCATTGAGCCCACGCCGGTTACGTCGGTGCGCGCTGGGTTTGGGGCGACGTCGGCTGCGGCGAAAGATAAGAAGGATGTGGAGAGGTTGGGCATGGGGATTGCTAGGCTGGGCTTTGGGCAGGTGTCAAGGCCGGATGCGAAGAAGGGGGCTGGTGGGTTTGGCAGTGTTGGGCCGATTAAGGGCAAGCCGGAGGGTATGTTCCCCTGTTCACTATATGTTCTACTGCTTCTTGGATGACTTATTAACGTTCAACAGACGAAGAAGAAACCTACGCCCGCCGCAAGTTCGGCAACCAAAAGGCCATCTCCTCCGATGAGTTCTTTGGCAAGGGCATGTTCGACGCCCAGGCCCAGGCAGAGGCCAAGGAGCGCCTGCGCGGCTTTGAAGGCGCCTCGGCCATCTCCAGCAACGCGTACTTTGGCCGTCCGGAGTCGGAGGACGACCCTGCTTCTGCTGCCCTAGATGATTATGGCGATCTCGAGACGGCTGCGAAGGACTTCATTCGTCGGTTTGGTCTGCAAGCGGGTGATGATTTGGAGCAACTGACGCACTTGCTTGGTGAGGGCGCTGGGAGGCTGCAGGGGGCTATTCGGGCTTATTTGGCGGGTTAAGGGGTTGAAGGAGTGATGGAGTAAGTTGGTGTAAGGATGAGATTAGGGAGTGAGGTGAGTTGGGGGGGGGGGAGGGAGGATTGGGGAGGTCATTCAAACGAGCAAGCCAAGCTAGCAAGTTAATTGTCTACGTGCCTATGTTTGTCCGTTTGTTTGTTTGGCCTGTCTGGTTAGTAATGAGTTTATGTAGTAATGAGGTTGATGTTACAAGTTATGAGAGTGTTATGAGCCAAGACGGTGAGGGTTCTAATGGTCTGTAGGAGGTAGGATGAGATAGAGATGGTAAAACACCCTATTAGAGTTCAAGAGCAAGCCTAAATTTCCCATTGTCTTATGAAGACATGAGATATATCCTCATCGATTACCTTGCACGTTGTCATAAACAATACATTGTTCCCTCTTCCCTATCTCTTGATCCAGTTGCCCTTGTTCCCCTCATTTCTTTCTCCACTTCCTCCTCCGATTGGACCTCGTCTCCACCTCCGCCTACTCCGTTCTCTCGGTGGCGTCGCTGCCGCACCGCCCAGTTGAGTTCAAGAACCCACTTAGCGATCCACACTTCCAACAAGTTCTCGGTAGTATAGTGGTTAGTATGCAGGCTTGTCAAGTCCTCCGGACAAGATTCGCCTGAGACCCGGGTTCAATTCCCGGCCGGGAAGCAAAGATGGTTATAATTTTTTGGGGGGTTGTCACATCCCTTGTGTTGAAAGATTTGAAAGAGTGAAGGGGTTGTGTGGTTGAAAATCTTTGTGGACGAGGTTGGAATAGGAGCGAAAAGAGCAGCCTAAAAAATGAGCTGCCTGTGGTTAGAGCTGATGGAACATCGATCCATTGCATGCTTGGCAAGAGCCTTAAGACTTTTCGCTTTTTCTGTCTCTCTCGTTGGAAGTTCGTCGAGATGTTGAGATATTGGATGTTGCTAAGGTATTTGCAGACATCCAGAGATCTTGTTGAATTCGCTTTGGAAACCTATGAGCTTCTCTTTTCCAACTCCTCAGACTGCTCGACTCCCTTTGGTTCGTCCGTCCAGTCAATTCTGTCTCTCGTCGAGTGCAGAGGTAGCGTCGCAGCTCCAATCGTCGAGAACTTCATACTTAAAGTTGTCTCCTCCTACTAAAATGCCTCCCCCCCCCCCCGAGACTCCGAGACTCCTTGGTAACTGGACTCTTTCCACGAGTTATTCTATTTCTCCTCTTTACCTGTTCCATTCAGGTTGTGGTCTTGTTAAGCCCTGGTGGCCCACGTTGACCAAAGTTCGTCTTGTCAGTTGGGATCGCAAAGGTTTTCCTCTGGGGAGGGAAGGGAAATCGAGAGTTAACTTCATCCTCTACAATGTCATTCAATACATCATCTTGAGGGCTTTATCCCGATTTTGTGTCGGTTCAAGCTCGTCATTGTAAGCCAGGGAGCTCCACCGCTAAGTTCGAAGCTCAGTGTTTACGCAGCACGAAGTTGAACTTCGTCCCGACTGAGTCATCCTGGCCCGTTTAAAGGTTGGTCCATGAGGGTATCTTCATGAGTTCACATCTGGACAAGGAGGAGAACACAAGCTATGACCACAATTGAACTCACGAATAGCGCATTGGAAAAGTCTTTTATATACTTCTTCAGCTGTTTCTACTACATCACCACGTTATAACTCAGCCTTTATCATCCCGTCTTAACTTGACAAAACAAGATCTCGAAAGCAATCCAGAGAAAACGCAGCCGCATTACAATAGCTCACTGTTCCGCCACGAAAGTCAGTGTATAACCAAATCTTCCTATCAAGCCGACAAACACTAGAGGCTTGTAAAACATCATGTGATCTTAGGCTGGACTACACGATGGACAGTCTCACGGGCTAAACAGGCAGCAAAGTCGTGAAGCAAAGAGCCGCAGACACAGCTTCATTCAGCCTGCAACGCTGTCAAGCAACCGGCACCGGTAGGCAGCTATTTGGCATCGGGCACAACAACCTGATCTTTTCTTCCGCTGTCATTATGGAAGCTGCATTCTCACGATCCTGAAGTGGCAGGGGAAAATTCCTCGGTGAGAGTTTGCTGCTCGGTGACCTCTGGCGTCCTAAACCCATTTGCCACAGCAGGAGAGCAGCTGCCAATGTTGTCACAGGCACCTCTGGCTTAGTTGCTAACGCCTAATAGCCCCACGACGAGTACAAACGAAGGAGGGTAGGGAAGATAGCAAGAAAACTCTCTATCTATCTAACACATCCAACACTATGAGACACGAACCAAAACCGGCAGAACAGGCTGGTTCCCTAAGAAATGCCTCTGAAACGGGATCATGGTGCGCATAACTTCGGCAAGCAATGGCAACAGAGCAGAGGGCGGGCGGCCGGGGAAGTCAGGGGCTCGTCGAAAGCTGTGAGACGCCGTCGACAAATGGCAGCAGAACCTACATCAAGCATGTTTGGCACTTCGTCTCGAAGCTCAAGAGGAACACAGCTAGGACCAACACGGCAAGCTTCTTGAAGAACAAAAAAGCCACGCTGCCGACAATTCCCGACCATTCCGAACAGGGATCCACGAAGCTGCCCATGGAAAGGCATCAAAATCCATAGCTCATGTAGATGGAAGCCAAGTAAAAAATTTTGTCCTTCCGTGCATTTCTCATGCTTTCATGCTACATTCTGCAAGCAACTGAGGTCTGTCTTCCATGCATCTGTTTGCTTCTCGAAGCCCTGAGATCTGGTGCAACCATCTGCAGCTTCCCGGCTACTCAAAGGCTTTGTTGTCCCTTCTTTCACATATGACCCGGTCCTTGTTTGAGATCAAGAATTCAGGATGAAGAACATCGGACGGTGCCTTCTTACTAGCCTACGCTGCATCAGTCAGGTCGTACAGCATCAAGGCCACAGAATACGCATACCTATGCACCCCAGATCTCATTCAGAACCAGAAGAGACTGTCAGCGGCCTGTCCGGCAGGCAACAGGACCCGATAGGATCAAAATCCGATCTCGAGATCATGCATACATCCAGCCTGCTGTCAAAGTCTACCCGTCAGACGGCATGGATGATAGGCCACCTTGCATCTTGCATGCCATCTGACATCGAGATCTAGCAGACATGCATGCCAGCGCAGTGCAAAGACAGTAGTGTCTAGGATCTAGGATCTAACAACCTAGGTGGAAGACGGCATCGAAAACACAAAGCAGGCATAAACATCCAGACGGACATGGTGTTTTTCCGGCTTCCGAACATCAACTGACAGGTAACGGCAGGAAAGAGCAAGGACAATGTCGTTCCATTACGTTGGGAAGCGTAGCATTAACCAAAGAAGAGGCTCAGGAAGAGACTTAAGGGTTAAAAAGGAGCCGCTTAGGAGTTTTTACACTTCTCTCTCACTCTGTTTCAACTCTTCTCAAAGAGGCAGGTAGGTGTAGCTTCCACGCCACGCAAGAAATGATGTCCTAGTGCTCATCATCCGTAACTTCGCTCTTACTAGGCCCAAGTAAGGGGCATGTTTGGTCCCTGACAAGGGGAGACATCAAGGTTATGGGGCTTGTGAGTTGGAAACGGACAACTAGGTAAGCATGTGTTAGATCGAAGAAAAAGGAGAATTCCGAGCGGATAGGAAGGGAATTCAGGGATGGAAAGTCACAACGTGGAGACGTTGGGCGATCATTGTTCGTCAGGGGTCATGATCGCCTTTCAGGGGTGACATAGATGCGATAGCGGATTGCATGGAGTGTAGATGCCGATGTGCAGAGCGCCTTGATCGGCTGAGAGGGAGGCTACAGGAGAGGTTGAAGGGTGATTGATGTGTTTGATGGTTGTTTGCACCGTCTCTCTTTGAGCCACCAACTTCTTCTCGACGAAATTGAGCTAACTGTGGCAAAATAGACCCGGCAGTTAGGCACCTATACATTCAACGCCAATTGGACAGAATTCTAGTACACATCTACTGAAGGTATACTCGTCCCCGAACATCCAGCTCATCCCCATGCCGGATCCGTTCCCAACAGCACCATGAATCTTGAACCCATGCTCCCTTCCACCGATCAAAACTGAGGGAAGAGTTTACCCCAAGTTGCGGTAGTATAACATCATGACAACATCTAAGAGCATTCTCAAGGTTGGTGGTTACAATCAATAGCACTAAGCCAAATGATTGACATTGCAGCATGTCAACGCGCATCAAACATCAAACACGTTGATCTGGTCTGGGGTTTATGGCGGTTTGGGCGTCTAACTTAGCTTCTACGCTGGTTTGCCGCCTCATGTGATTTTAGCAGCCGCGGGTCCCTGACCGGATCGTGGCGGATGGTGGGTGGGAGGTTAGGTGTGATGGGTTGGATGGGGGGACAGCATAGAAGTATGGAGGAGTGCGCAAGATATGTCGAGATAGGCGGGGCGGGAAGGATGGTTATTACCAGGTTAAACGAGGAGTGATAGGGACTGTGTGACTATAGTGGGCGCAAGAAGATGGGTGTAAGTCGCGTCAAAGTCGACGGCTACGGCTTGCAACGACAACCCAGCCGTAGGTCTTGACGGCAACATACCCGGTGAACCATGCTCGACCAATCGTTAGAGCTGTCACGTCTGTGTCTCTGACGGAGAAAGCCCCCAGTCGCTGACAACTGCAGAAGACACGACTCGGAGGTCCGGAGTCGGGAGTCATAGCGTATGTGCATACTGCGGATAACGAACAGGACACGACACGGATGAGGTCAATAAGCAAGCAGCAAGGCCACCGCTTTCCATAAACATCTCATTCACGATGGAAAAGCACGTATCATCAACATCTCCGTCGTCGCCAACCCCAAGATCAGGACCTCAACCACCATTCTTCACGAAGCACAACACCCACAAGAACCTCTAACTCAACCACACGGGATCTACCAAACACATCTCAGCGACGGTTAACTAAGGTATGCCATACACGTTTCCAAAAGCCAAAACTCTAAATGCCGAATGGAACCGAACAACGTTCATCCCAGTTCGTAAGATTAGCTCGTTATGCGGGGGATATGCGTTAGGCGACCCTGACTTATTG